TTTTACCCCATTGAAATAGGCTTCAATGCATTTCAATGGGTTTCACTTAACATTTTTTTCCTGTGGGGATTTTCGCTTAAGGATGGTAATCCGTTCCAATTGGAACGGATTATCCGGTTTTCAGTGCATCTCTATGGGAAATGGTGTTTCGCTTAACAATGTTTTCACATAGCGATGTTTTTTTTGGAACCAATTAAAATCGTTAAGCGAGGCACCACTGTATACGTGTTCAGGAGAGCACATTACTTAATATTTGCTTATACCTGAACTGCATTTGCCATTTTAATGTCCATCTCCCCCACTTCAGAGAGATCCTAGTGCTTGCATATAACCATCTTCTCTGCAATGGGCTAGTACTTTGGTTCCCTGAGTCTCACTTGCAACTGTAGAATGAACAAGAAGCTAGCAAGCTTCAGAAGGCCAAAGCCCTACCTTGTAAGACCAAGAACTTTGAGTTCTACTTGCAACTGTAGAATAAACAAGAAGCTAGCAAGCTTCAGAAGGCCAAAGCCCTACCTTGTAAGACCAAGAACTTTTGGTTAAAGTCAATTCTAGAAAGGTTTGATTGGGTCATCAGCCTATTTCTCAGAGGTCTGTTGCCAAATAGTGAACAGCCTGTTTCACTGCATAACTAAGAGATGGAACCCGGCTTGTGAGTTAAAGTCAATTCTAGAAAGGTTAGATTGGGTCATCAGCCTATTTCTCAGTTGCCAAATAGTGAACAGCTTGTTTCATTGCATAACTAAGAGATGGAACCCGGCTTGTCCCTTCCCTCTTTTTAATAATAATAATAATTTATTGTCATTGTAAGTATATACACAGTATACCCATACAACGAAATTCACAATTTTTCTGGCGTGTCTTTTTAGTTATAAGCATGATGGCAAAAGCTGTGTTTATTTCTGTCAATTTGTAAGCCGGTATGGAAACTCTTCTGGCTAAAAGCTTTTAATAAATTTATTTTCTTACAACCTTAAAAAAAATAATAAAGAGGGATTTCTGCACTGTCTTCAGAGAAAACCATGAGGACATGACTTCTCTTCATCACAAAGAATTCCAGCAAGGCAGAAAAGTTTCTCACACAGAGGGTGAGGGTCACCATATCACACTGGAATTGCCTAATCTCAATTCTTCCGGATGGGTTGGACTAGAAATCCCATCATTCATTCATTCATTCATTCATTCATTCATTCATTCATTCATTCATTCATTCATTCATTCATTCATTCATTCATTTTATATCCCGCCTATCATCTCCAGTCATTATGGAAAGCCACCCTAGGTTTTCTGTCCTTTGTACATCAAGTCCTTTACACCTAAGGGCATATACCCAACCCTGAAAATTTCAACTCTCCCTCCAGGTTTCTGTCGTGAACCTGTAAAAAACGTAGCCTTGTTAAATGGTTGCAGTCAACGACAAAACCTGCGCCGAATCTTTAAGTCCAGCTCCATAAAGGAAGCTGAAATAAAGTAACTAGACTAGAATGAGGAAGAAAACATAAGGGCAGATCATCAAATTTCAAAAATTATGTTCACAACAAAAATATATCCTGCTTCCTCTCTGATAAAAACAATTGTTTTTTAAAGAGCCAATTCAACTTGAAGAACAAAAACTTTGAAATCTTTGTCTTAGAAGATTTGAAGAAATATGTACACAGCTAGATGGGGATATAAACACAGGCGATAAGAACACAAATGCACAAAGGGTGGAAGAAAGTAATAAGGCTGGAACATTTATTATGATATGAAAATGTTAAATATAAGAACTGATCAGAACAACAACAGAGTACAGGTAACAAATAAAGACAACCAGAAGAAAAATAACCCATTGGTGAAAAATCCCAGGTATGTGTGAGCAATTGCCCCAAGACAGGTAACCAGAAAGAAGCGACAAAAAGATGGAAAGAATGGGAATTTAGGAAGAAGGAAAGCAGTATTTACTAGGAAAGAACATCTCACCTCGAGTGGTGCAGATAATGTTACTGTGGGAGAACTGAGGCTACGAGGCCGTCTTATCTGAGGCTCAGCTAAATGGTTGTTACTATTTGAGGTTGATCCGGTTGCGCCATCTTCAGCAAGCTATTTTAGAGGCAAATACAAGTTAGGTACATGTTGTAACCTTTTCGTGCAAGAAGCTGAATTATTTCATGACAAAATATTCCCAATTTAGACAAAATATTCCCAATTCAGTTAATTATAATGATCCTCCCCTGGCTCAAATAGCCTGGGAGGAATATCATATCTGGGAATATATCACCCCTATTCGATTACAGTACTTGATCAGCAATGTTCTGGGTTTACAGCTATGACGTCAAAACCATGTAACTGAATTTTCTACATCAATGACTTATTCAGAAACAAAATAAAAGGCCTATATATCTTTGCTACAATTTTGGAGGACAAGCGTATGCAATTTCTATACAATATGATTACCGTTTAGAATCCAGCTCATCCTTTAACAACTTCCTTATAGCTCCCATTATAGTTTGAACACCAGCATTGTTCATACTTTTCCTCTACCAGCCCTACTGAAGGCACTAATAAAGACTAATCGCCGGCTCTTCTAAGCAGGCTAATTAGGCCAGTGTAGCTTTCGATTCCCTGAGCCTAGTTTTTTTACCCCTTTGCAAATGTAAGTTGACTACTGGCATCTCTGAGCAATTTCACATTCCCCATCCTCTGCAGCAGTTAACCTCTGCCAGAATCTGCCAAGAACAAGCGTTAGTTTTAAAAAAAAAAGCTGCAGAACTACCACAAAAGCTTGCAATGCTACAGGGTAAGCAGAAGAATGGTGGTGACGGGAAAGAGTTGATTCTCCATGGATATCAACTCAAAAGCTGGTAGCTTCTACAGCCACCCAGAGGCTGCTGCTCAGTCTCAGGCTCCTACTTGAACCAGTCTTCTTAACTATGGATATTAAGCTTTCAACAAAACGTTCATAAATATTTCACTCATCATGTGGTTGGTTGTTTTTTTTTTGCTGTAGGTTGTTTATCCCAGCTTGATTACCCCAGTTTCTGCTATACCCAGCTACTGTTCCATGCACACCCGCTGCATCTACGTTTCTTTTCTGGGCCTAGGCGGATCACATAAAATCTTACTAGATTTTTTTTTTTGCCCGCCAATGGGTAGAGCTTGAACAATTCATTGACACCAATGTTTATCTCAGAAAGGGTTAACCAGGGCTCTTCTTACACCAAGAAACTCACTCCAAACTGCATTTTTCTATGAGAGTTCATAAGAAATCCTGACTAGCCTTCCTTCATAAGGCTGGATGCCAGCACTACAGAACTGTAATCAAGGGGCAGATTTGCTTCAGGAAAGGGCAAGATTGCATGGAGAGAGCGAGCAAGATTCCTTGGGCTAACACTGTGCTTGCAGTCAATATAATATTTGCTACAGCCCACAAGAAGAAACAGCAATTGTCTACAAATAGAAGCAACCTGTACTCGCACAAACTGTAACATTATTTTTATTTTTATTTATTTTATTTATTAGATTTCTATCCCACCCTTTTAGATAAAGTCTACTCCGGGCACGTAAGATGCCAGGGTGACATTTAGGTAAGAAGGAATAGGAAATCTGCTTTCTGCTTCTAAGCATATTAGCACACTTTCTTATTACACCAGCCCAGATCCATCTATATCCTGAACACAGATATTGTTGCGCCAATGATGTGTGGAGAGTTGTGATGCAGCTCCCACAGCTTTGGTGCAAACAGAAACTGGCGTTGGCCTGTGCTAAAAAGAGCAGATCCTGACTCAGCCAATGCATGTCTTGTCACTTAGGATCAATTATTTCCCAAAAAAACTGTCCTCCTCCATTTGTAGCTTTCATTCGGATATCAAAGAGTGGAATGAAAATTTATCTATATGCTTTTAAGTGAGCCCAACAGTTTCTGTAGGGGAGACAAGGTTCGTACCTGCATGATAGGGCGAGTCCAAGTTGTCGTTCGATTGTTATGATTGACATAATAAGTCCGTCCCTTAGCATCTTTCCTCTCTTCCCAGCCCGAAGGTAAGCCTGGCGTAGTATGTACATAGGCCACTGATGGCTGTTCATGCAAGAAATTATCACAGCGTTAATTTGCGGTAGAGGTCATTTCCTCAAGCAGCATTTATAGCAGTTTCATTGGGAAAGACACGCTGGCCATCTCCTTCCTCAAAGGAGATGGGGAAATTTCAGACATTCAAAAGGCTTAGCTTCATCCTCTGGAGCAAGAAGTGGCAAAGCCACAAGCGAAAACTGCAGCACACTGAAATCAAGAGAGATGACAAAAGCTGTCCAGTATGACGGAAGGTTCATTTTATTCTTGCTGAAGGTATAAGTTGTTCATTAAAGACAGGTAACAAGAAGGGTAGAAGACTAGGAAAAGACTGGACAGAATTGACACACAGTCAGGGCAAGCGTTTCTTGTGTGACTCTCTCGCAGGTAATGGATGTTTCCTTTTCCTCAGCGGAACATGGACCAGGCATTGAACAAAAACAAAGCCTCTGCTGGTAGTCCATACCACCTGCCTCACAGACAGCGGTTCACGCCGGGTTCAGAAGGGTAGTGAACCTGCTCAAGATTGAACTCTGACCTTTACAGGAGCTACCCAAGGTGCTGAAGCTATTTCAGAGAGAGGATTCAGCAAACTGAACAGCTCATGTAAAACTCAGAGGAAGGACCAGAGTGTACTCTTTGCTCCTGTGAACCCAGAATCACCAGCTACCTTGTCTTGCCACAGGTCACAGGTACTGCAGCCATGAATCCAAACACAGAGACTGCCACCTATCTATCTATCTATCTATCTATCTATCTATCTATCTATCTATCTAATCTATCTAATCTATTTAATCTATCTATTAGATTTCTACCCCGTCCCCCTAGACAGTGTCTACTCAGTCATGTCAAACCTGTTATTAATACATTAGAATTTGCAATATTTATGCATTTTTTCTTATCGTAGCTTTGATTATTGAAGGCTCCACCCTACGTCCCGAAAGCTTCACCAGGGCATAAAGGGATGCCAAGAGAGCCTCAGAACAGCTCTGGCATATCTCTGCCAATTGGATTCCAGCCAATACATTTTCTATGACAATCAAATCCAGGAAGCCACGATTCTTGAATTGTAATATTTTGTCTTCTGTGTTTGTACAGTGAACAGAGAAATAATGAGTACTCAGAGGCTGAGCAATCTTTAATGCTACCAAATAGGACGTGTCATTTATTGATTTATTAAAATTATTTACCCACTGCCTTTCATCATATTCTGCCAAGACGTATACTGTAGTCTGGCAACAAAAGACAAGATTACTAAATATATGTAAGGCCACACTCTTTGTGTCCATTTTCACTTTACTGTTTGCTATCTTTTTGTGAGAAGGAAAGAAATCTCAAAATAATGGCTTAAACAATCCAAACATGAATTCATCATGCATTGTGATAAATACTTATGTGATCATTGAAGCAGGTTCATTTGTATGCATTTGGATAGAATTTTGATTTTTTTTAAAAGCATAGACTGTTGAGATTTTTGATCTGAAAATTTAGTAAATATAATGTTGTACAGTAAAAAGTAAAATGGCTGATTTTACCTGAGTCATGTACTAAGTGGATTCAGGTGTGTAACAAAGTTGAAGACCTAAATAAAGTACAGCTGGAGAAAATGATGTAACCTTTTGTAAGTGCAAAATGATGTACAGTAATGTATTTTGTGATTGCTCCCAAGAATGTATAAAAGGACATGTGTAAAGGGAAAATGTTATCTGCTGTAAGTCAGATCACTTATTTTTATGCTGTGTGTTGTATCGTGTTATGTAATGCTGCCAGTAGAACGTCTATGCTCTCTGTATATTTGTAAATAGACTATGTTGAATTTTAGTCTCTCAGTGTTACAGTGTCTTTGCGACCTAATATCTCCTAACTCTGCTTATGTCCAAAAAACGTTAACAAATTCTCAACATAGACTAGGGGAGCTATTTCGTACTCTTGAAAATATAGGGGTCTTTCTAGAATAAAAGTTGTGAGAATTCTGTTTTACATATTTCTGGCAAAAAAAAGAAAAGAAAGACAAAAAACTAGAAGAAGACTGCTCAGCAATATCACACATATTAATGAAACTGTGCAGAATAGTGTGACATCCACCAGTTTCTGCCTTAATGGCATCTTCCATATATAGCCTTTTATTTAAAAAAAATGATGATTTGAAAAAAAATAGTATCACATTTTTGGAGAAAACTAAGGGAGCAATCATCCTCAGTGGGCACATCAACATATTAGAGTTGCTTGCTTTGAGCATTTAGGCAAGCAAGATCTTTGAGTGTGTTGTGCTCTTTTGTGAAAACAATCTTGTTAAGGCAGCCATTTGTCCCTTGAGTTCTATTTAATTTTACATCTATGTTATGACCCTGTTTTTATTATATTCTCCTCCAAAACCTGAACTTTCCCATCCCTGTTTTAGGTGAGGACTGCTCTGCTAAAATCTAAATGCAGAAAACTATTTTTAGAGATTCTGTGATGTGCTTCGATTTTATTCAGTGTTAGCTTTGCTTTTAATACTTTACATGTCTGTTCAAGCAAGGAACTGTCCTTTGAATTAATAATTCCTGCAATACATGAAGACCCACAAAGTATCCATTTTATTTTGCTTTTCTGCACTTTTAGATTGGGAAAAATAACTTTGGGGCAGAGGTAATTGCATCATAACATTACCAACAGTAACTCCCTCTAATTTGGCAAGTCAACTAACAAAAAAAGTAACAAAATTATATAAGCTTACAAAAAACATGTTTCAAAGACTGCCAAATATGATGAGGACGAGAAGGAGGTGTGAGGTAGGAAACTATACCAGATTTGAATTTTGTTGACCTTAAGTAGTTGTCATTTAGTTTTGGCCAATAAAACAATGCTGGTGGGTCTTTGCTTCCTCTGTCCCTCTACCATCTTGAGCTTCAACTTTAATCCTAGTTTCCAACAGCAGCATAAAGGCACTGATTTTGATTCTGACTTCCGAACACTGCATTTGCCACTACTTCCGCCAAAAATCAAACTATCTTGCCCGCTGAGCTTTGGCTGTGTAATCCACTCAACTGCTTGGGATCTTCCAGATGACATAGTATGAATGGCAACCACTAAGTCAACACACGTTAAGAAGAAGAAAAAATGTGCCTAGATTCTTCTCATGTTGTATATCTATGCATGTAAAGATGCTTCTACTTTACATAATCTCTTAGAATAAGAAAGAGCTGGGAAGCAAAATACCAGGAATATAAATGGTTTTAGTGCTGCTTCACTAGCAGACATTGTTTGTGGTTCTGACACTATGAAAAGATGATTTATTGAACAACCAAACACAACACGGAAAGAAGATATTCACATATCCTGCAGCCAAAGAGTTTCAAAGAATTTCCCAAAAACGAGCTATCCACATAAAGACCTAGAAGTATGACATCTTGAAGAAGTGAAAAGATGAGATTAGGCTGAAAGAGGAGGATATATTTGGCTTGATAAAGAAGTTATTACCGTTGACTCTTCACCACCAGTGACAGTTGAAGAACGAGCTCTCCTAGATGGGCCGCTTTGCTGTTAAATAATAATAATTGTTAGAGTTAAGGGTTGATCAGGAATGGAAGTTACAGACTACATGTATAATGTCAGGAAAAGAAGGAAATGAAAGCCAACTTTTTAAGCATAAAGCTGTAAATTGACTCTGCAAGGATGGAAAGAAGGTACAAGTTATCGGCAATTAAGTGAAAGTGAGAGTTACTTCAGCAGGCAGGAGGTGATAAGTTTCTGATAACTGGCACTTTTATCCTAAATATTTCTGTTGCCTGTTCTGTTCTACCAAGGATGATAGCCAAATGTAATAACAATTCCACATTAAGGCCATGCTATGTTAGATCAGGATAACTGTGTGCACGCCTTCTTCTAAAGGATTCCTATGCTTGAGTCAGCGAGACAAGGTTCTGGAAGAGTTACTTTCTTCGAACTATAATGCTCAACCAATACTCTCTAGCCAGAATGTTTATTAGAGGTCTGATACATGTAATAGTTCTCAGCCTTCGGCTTGTTATTCTTCCACTTAACTGTGGCAGTGTTTAATTTAATCACTTAAGAAGACAGACATTCTTGACTCTACCAGCATTCTGATCTCCAAAACCCATGTGTGGACTGCAACCCAGTTACTCTTCAGATTTTGCATTTCTCTGAATTTTGTAATACTGCTTTGGCTCAGAAAAATGTACCAAAAACATATAAAGAGGTATAATTTAGGATGAAATACATTTAGAAAACTGTACAAATATGTTGTTCTTGATACATGTGAATTCTCATGTGGATTAAAAATCACAGAGATTAACGCAGTTCAGATGGATTTGTGAATGGACATGTGTGAAACTGACATGATCCAGAAAGAGACAGATCCACCCGTCCTTGCTTGGGCAACAGCACACTCTACTGAGCTGGGCTTACCCAGGTGTGCATAACTAGACGTGGGCCATTACATAAATCACTTTTGAAAGTTTTCTGTGATATGCATGTGAGAGAAGGCATAGCACTGATACTGGTGCAGAAATCCTGGTCTGGTCCTGCTTGGGATGCTGAAAGAGAGTCATATTTTCCCCCTCTGGAGTATGCTTGATGACACAAATGGAACAGGAAACACTGGCAAATTGAATCAATAGAGTGCAAAGGAACAGCAAAACCCCAAAAGTAACAAACAGGGAAAAACAACCAACCAACAAAACATTTCAGGACACTGGGATCTTCCCCTGTTTTCTCATCATATTTGTAAAGTTTAAATGTTAAGAAAATAGACATTTTCACGCTTAATATCATACATCATAAAATCATGATTTTTTTTTAACATTTAGGGCTTCATAACAAAGTCTGTTACATCCTACTTGTTACACAGGGCTTACTCTCAGCTACGTATGCACAGGACTGCATCATTATCATCATCATCATCCTTTTCATTATTAGGTACTAAATACTAAAGCATAAAAGCAACAGAAACACAGATTCAAAAGCAGTGGGAGTGGAACTGACTGCCACTCTGATCGGAGTATATTCCACAACCTGGAAGCCATGCATGAGAAAGCCCACCCTTCCACATGCCTATCAAGCAGGCCTCTGCAGCTCCTCTCAGGAAGACCTCTTCTGAACACCTGAACATACCCCAGACAGCCAAAACTCAAACCATTTAGAGATCTGAAGGGTAAAAACCAGTACCTTTAATTGAGTCCTGTGACCGACCGGTAACTAGTGCCAGTCTTTCACTATTGGGGTCATATCATCTCAATACTGTGCACCAGTTGGCATCTTCCTTGATGCATATTGCACCAACCGAAAATCCTGGGCCCTTTTCAGTTGTAGGCCTCCATACAGCATACTGCATTAGTCAAAAGATGCAATGTAACTAAGGTACTGGATGACTGTTCGTAAGTCAGGGAAGCCTCTAGCCGGCTCACCAAGTGGAGTTGTGCAAAAGTCTTCCATGTCACCGGCCAGCTTCCCCAGATGTAAGGCTTGGCCTTCTGGATCGCGTAGACTATGGCCAAACACTCCTTCTCCACGGTTGCCAAATGTCTCTCACCTTTTTGAAGTTTCCTA